ATTGTTTCTTGACCTTTTACAGTTTAAAGTAGTTTTTTGTTTGTTTTTTGGTTTTTGGTTTTTTTTTTTTTACTTCTGTTTTTTTCTTGGGGGGGTTAGGGGCCTGGGGGGTTTTTTGTTTTGTTTTGGGTTTTGGGTTTTTTTGTTTTTGTTTTTGAGGCAGGGGTTCTCTATGCAACAGCCCTGGCTGTGCTGCAACTCTCTCCTCAGACTAAGCTGGCCTTGAACTCACAGAGATCCACCTGCCTCTGCCTCCCTAGTGCTGGGATTAAAGGCATGCACCACCACTACCCTGCTAAAGTAGATTTACTAAAAGAGAAAAGAAGGGTTAGGTAGATAGCTCCATAGAGAAAAGGCACTTGCCACTCAAGTGGAATGACCTGCATTCAGATTCTCAGAAGTCATAAAATCTAGAGGCATGGTGTGCATCTACAGTCTTAGATACATAGTGTGCATCTACAGTCCTAGGCACAGAGTCTATGGTTCTAATGCTGCTGCAGGAAACAGAGGGCCCAAGCTGAATCCTGGGAAGCTAAGAGCCAGCTACCCTGACATCATGCAGCAGAGAACAGGAGGCTGCTTTGTGGAAAGTGAGCACTGCACACCCAAGACTGTCCCCTGACCTTGTACATGCATCCCACATATTCTCTCTCTCTCTCTCTCTCTCTCTCTCTCTCTCTCTCTCTCTCTCTCACACACACACACACACACACACACACACACACACACACAAAGACAGCTTTTTTAAAAAGTGTTTAAGGAAGATAGAGCGTCTTCAATAAGATTGAAAATTCATTTTTTAAATCTAATAAAATGTTATGTCATTCTTTTAATTTATTTGCTATAAATGTACTTGATGGGGGAGATCCTTCTGTGTATATGTTTGTCTTATTGGTTGGTAAATAAAGCACTGTTAGCCAATAGGGAAGCAAGTTAGACAGGACTAGGAGAGGAGGAGGATTCTGTGAAATGTAGGAAAAAAGGAGTCGCCATGTGATCCCAGGAAGAGAGGACACATAAGGCCGGTGTCCTTGGTAAGATAAGTCCTTATGAAAATATATAGATTAGTAGTTATGGTTGATATTAAGATTGAGCAAGCAAATAAATCCTAGTCGTTGGCCAGCAGCATTGTAACTAATATAAGACTCTGTGTGTTATTTGGGGGCCCTAAAGCGGCGCCCAAACCCAGGCAGCTGACGGAAAGAGTACTTACATGTACTTGAATACTTTATATGTTTATAGTTAGTTGTATTCATTTTATAGGGTACCTTTTATATCTTCAGCTCAAAACATTAATTGAATTGTGTACTTTTTGACTAGCAAGCTCTCTTTGACTTTTGTTTGTTTGTTTGTTTGCTTTTGAGACAGGGTCTTTGTGTATAATTGGCTATACGGGAACTCACTTGTAGTCCAGGGTGATCTTTTTTTTTTTTTGATGCAAACTGCATGAGGCTTTATTGTTGTTGTTTAAGGAGCTAACCCTATGTTAGCTCGGGTCTTTCATCCCCCCGCCATGGCAGATGGCTAGACAAGATGTCATTGTTTTTTGTTGTTGTAGATGTTGTTTTACCACTGAGTATACTCCAGTGTGTAAGTGTGCCATGATTTCCTTATCCAATCTTCAGGCATCGAGTTCCATCTAGGTTGTTTCCACATTCTGGCTATTACAAATAATGCTGTCATGAACATAGTTGAGCAAATGTCCTTGTGGAGTTAGTGTGCATCCTTTGTGTATAGGCCCAAAAGTGGTATTGCTGCATCTTGAGGTAGACTGACTCCTAACTTTCTGAGAAACTGCCAAAATGTTTTCCAATGCAGCTGTACAAGTTTGAAGTCTCTATAGCAATGGAGGAAATTTCTTCTTACTCCACATCCTCTCCAGCATACGGTGTCACCAGTGTTTGTGATCTTAACCAAAGTAGTTTTGATTTGCATTTCCCTGATGAGTAAGAACGCTGCTCAAGTCCTTCAGTGTCTTTCCTCCATTTGAGATTCCGCTGTTGAGAGTCCTCTGTTTATAGCTTTACTCCATTTTTTGTTTTTTATTTATTTTTAATTGGAATTAGAACCCAGATTGTTTTACACAACAATTCCAGTTCTCTTCTCCCTATGTCCTCACGTGTATAATTGGCTATACTGGAACTCACTTGTAGTCCAGGGTGATCTTATACTCCCAGAGATCAAACTGCCTCTATCTCCTCTGAGTGCTAGGATTAAAGGCAAGTGCCACCACATCTGGTACATCTGGTGTACCTTTTTTTTTTTTTTTTTTTTTTTTTTTTTTTTTTTTTTTTTGGTTTTTCGAGACAGGATTTCTCTGTGTAGCTTTGGAGCCTATCCTGGCACTCTCTGTGTAGACCAGGCTGGCCTCGAACTCACAGAGATCCACCTGCCTCTGCCTCCCGAGTGCTGGGATTAAAGGCGTGTGCCACCAACGCCCGGCTGGTGTACTTTTTAATATAGTTTTTATTTATTTTTCTATATTGTGTTTATCCTTTTGTTTTCCTAATGGTTCTTGGCTTTTGTATTGTATTCATGTCATTTTATGTCCGTCAGTCAATATATATACTATAGTAAAAACTTTATTTTCCCTTTCTATATCCAGTGAAATATCTTCTTACATTCTTACCATTACTGCTTTGCCTTTCTTTAAACATATTTTGCAAATACAGTTTTCTGAGAACTAAACTTAGAGCCATAATTTTCCACAGCCTCCAGTAGTGGGACCAGGCTTCATAGAGGTTATGTAGAGGAAGCCACACTGGAAGACAAGCCATCGCAGACTTCTCACATTGTGTTTGTTGTGCATGGCATTGGACAGAAGATGGACCAAGGAAGAATTATAAAGAACACAGCCATGTGAGTTCTTTGCAAACAACCCAGCTTCTGCCTAAGCCCTAAGCAGAGCCACAGGTTCAACTCCATCTCTTCCCGGTGCCATTAATGTTCTGGATGAAACCCAAAGAGTGATCTTTGTGATACCTGACTTTTCCCTCCATTACAGGAGAAGGAGTGATAAAAAGAAATAGCCTTAATTAACATGTTTAATTAATTTAGGGTTGACATCAGGAAAAGAGCTAGTTTTAGGTTTGTTCCTTGCTCTCTGAGCTTCAGAAATTAAGAATCTTCAAAGTTGTCCATCTCTGAGAAGATTAAAAATTGCTTAAACTGACAATTTTCAATCCAATCTACCCACTAATGGCTCCCAGAGGAAACAACTCTAGATTGTATACAGAAGTCCGGATACTTACCACAAGTATCCACAAGGCAGTTTGTTTATCTCCTTACCTGATAAATACTCAGCTTTATTCTAAAACCTCTTTAGGAGCTTATTGGAATGTGTGTTGGGGGTGGGGGCAGAGTTGTGTGTTTCAGAATTTAAGTGTTGTGTTAAAGAGATGTTGGGGGTATAGTCTCCACCTTAGATTTGGCTCTTTGCCAGCAGCCAGGAGAAAGCAGAACTGATGAGGCACAGGCTTCTGATGGCAGTGATAACTAGGTAGTTACTATGGAAAGGACAGCCAGTAAAATTCGACATCCTGGAAGTCAATGGATGACTCTAGGAATTAGAGCCTCAGTACCCTGCATTTGCAGATGTTAAGCTTGCTACACTCTGTGAGATCATCATGCCTACAGAGGGATTAAAGTAAAAGTGCAGTACAACTCAGGTTGTATTGTTGGAGAACAGCAGGCTACCTTACTTCTTCTCAGGCCCTTTGCTTCTCTTATAGGCATCTCATAGCTCTAATTCTGACTTTGTTTTATAATGAGTCATATATGACTTGGCATGATAATTATGTCCTAATGCATCCTCTGTTTAAATATCATGGACCATGAGAATTGGTTTGCTGACATAGCCTCCATGAGATCATTAGTAAAACAGAAGTTTAATTTCTTCAGGTACAAGTAAGGCAAAATAAAAAAGGCCGAAGCCTGTGGAGTCTTTCCAAACTCACTGACACCTGCCCAACCTCCGTATGTCACCACACCTTACACAAGCAATAGAAGGTCATGTGATTAACATCACATGGGTGCAGTTAGTAAACAGACTGTAGGAAATGGAGGGGGGGGGGCTGTAAATTAACGACACTGGAGACCTAGCTACCATCTTCAGTGAATGGACTAGAGTATTTGGAACATAAATATAAAATGGTTTAATGTTACTGTGAAATGGTTTTTATAATCAGTTGGGGAAATGCTAAAATTAAAAATTAATTGATTGTAATACTTTAATATTGAATAGATCTTACTTTAGAAAAATAATATTCTGTTTGAAGGTGTGATGACTGGGGATGTAGCTCAGTGGTAGAGCAAGGTGTAACTCAGTGGTAAAGCAATTGCCTCAAATATTTGAAGCCCTGGGTTCAATGTTTGTATGAGAAATAAAATGGTGTGGTATCTGGGATTTGCTGTAAATTGTGAAAGGACAGCACGAGAGAAGTTTTCACAATGAACCTCTTGAGTACCTTCATTATGTTGTGCTGATCAAAACCCTATCTGTGGTAAAATTCACATAACTGGCAAAAGGAAAGCTGTAAGTTCATTGATACCTTAGTTTTCAAAGTAAAAAATTGAAATTTGCATTATCAAGAAGAGTTAAAAGGGGCAGAAAGATTTCAAGAGCTGGAGGACCAGAAAGTCTTCTGCAAGATGGTGTCTTCTAGATATGACAGGGAAGCTATACCCATGAAAACTCAACAGTATGACTGCCTAAACAAGACCTGAACAGTGGCACCACCACTAGACATGCCAGCATGGATAAGGAAAACTCATGGGATTCCATACAGAGAGAGAAAAAATTAGTAGCCTTGGATGAGCCCTCAATTGGTTACCCAGTACCATGTGGTCATCCCTGAAATTACATACATATAAGCAGCACTGAACAGACTCAGCAGGCTGTATTTATATATTTTTTCATTTGTGTGTATGTGTGCAACAATAATTAGGGGGGAAAAGGCCCTAAATTGAGAAGGGAGTAGGAGAGGCAAGTACAGGGATATTCGAGGAGCTGGAGGGAGGGAGGAAGGGGCAAAAGAAATGTTGCAATTACATATTAACTGAAAATACTCCAAAGCTACACAGAGAAACCCTGTCTTGAAATACCAAAAAAGCAAACAAAAGAAATATAAGGAGATGAAATTGGATATTTCATGACTGGACACATGATGTGTGGAGATGAGCAAAAGCACAGATACGCTCATTATACTGTTACATCCCTGAAGAGCTGTCATTTAGAATGTAATGGAAGTGGGAACATCTGAAGTCCTGAGTGACAAATAGGAAAGTAACTGAGGCTTAGTGTCACAGTCAGTGGGATACAGTTGGACACAGGAGCCAGGAAATGGAGGTGTTACAATGAGAGAGACTTATACTGTAAAGACATGTGAAGTTATTCTCAAAAGTCTTTATTACGTTTATTTTTTAGGATGAGAGAGGCTGCAAGAAAAATAGAAGAAAGGCATTTTTCCAACCATGCAACACATGTTGAGTTTCTGCCTGTTGAATGGCGATCAAAGCTTACTCTTGATGGAGGTATATTTTGTTTTGAAATTGAATGATTTTAGCCAATGACAAATCTTTAGTAAAGTAAATATGCAGTTTTAGAAATATTTTTATTAAGAACAAAATCTTGATTGTGTGTGGTGGCTTATACCTTTAATTCCAGCACTTAGAGTTTGGGTGATAAAGGCCAGTGGATCTCTGTGAGTTCAGTCCTAGCTTGGTTGATAAAGCAAGTTCCAGACCAGCTGGACAGACGGACACACACACAAATCCTTTTAGTTGTCTTAGAGTATATTCACTTTTAGTTCCAGATTATTCAAGAACATATTTGAGGGGGAAAAAATGATTTTAAAATTAACAAAATTGACTTGGGTCTTTGGACTGCCATGTAGACTTTACAGATTGTGTGTGTGTGTGTGTGTGTGTGTGTGTGTGTGTGTGTGTGTGGTGTGTGTGGTGTGTGTGTGTCCATGTCGGTGTCCGTGTCCGTGTCCTTTGTGATTTGGAGGTAGAGGAAAGGGATCTAGGTCTGTGTGACATAACACCCACCTTCATCACAGTGGTACCTCCCCCAGGTGCAGCCACAGAGTCTTCCGGGTCTGTGTAACTGCCTCATAGTTAAGAATATAAGTTAGAGCATGCAAAAGTATAATGAGCTTTTAAGAAATAAGTCTGTCTTAGCTAGGGTTTCTATTGCTGGAGACACCATGACCCCGGCAGCTCTTAGAAAGGAAAACATTTATTTGGGGTGGTTTACATTTTTAAAGGTTTACTCCAGTATCACCTTGGTGGAACATGGTGGTGTGAAACATGAGACATGATGCTGGAGACGTGGAGAGTGTCCTACATCTTGACTTGCAGGCAATAGGAAGTGGTCTCTAACACTGGTCGGTATCTTGAGCAGATGTGAGACCTCAAAGCCCAACCCCAGTGACCATACATACTCCAACAAGGCCACATCTCCTAATAGTGCCACTCCCTTTGGTGGCCATTTTCTTTCAAATTCACCATGAAATAGCTAAATGCTAGTGACCAAGGAAGTAATGGTATATATGTGAAGGTTCTATATACTAACACTATGGGCTTTTCTGGCTTACCCAGGTAAACTTCAGTAATGTAGACAACAGGATGAATTAACATTTACTGAACCCCTGAGCCTGTTGTTGTGGCTAAGTTTACATCGTCATGATCCTTGTTTGTTCTTGAAACATCTCCCCTTTGTAGCCCAGATGGTCTTGAACTCACAGTCTTTCCGCCTTAGCCTCCTGAGCCCCAGGGTATTGGGCATCACCTACTGAAGGTAGTTTTGAAGGTATTAATATAACTGAAAGAAGCCAACCAGAAAGAACCTGTCCTTTATGCTTCCATTCATATAACCGGAAAAAGCAAAACTACAATCACAAAGAGCAAGCCAGTCACTGCCAGAACTTAAAGAAGGGGAGGCAGAATGTTGAAGTCAAAGAGGACAGTTCTGTGTCCTGATCACAGCCATTGTTATACAAAACTGCAAGTATGAACACTCACAATCAGCTGTACTCTTCAAAATAAAAGCATACTATAGCAAGTATCAGTGTACTCATTGGTAGTGAAAAGATAAAGAGAAACTAAAGATGTTCATGGGCTTATTATCTTGGCAGTACAATAAGACATGAAAAAGGAGTGATAGGAATAAGAAATGCAAAGCACCAGTTCCAGGTCCCATGCTTTCTGCTCAGAAAACCCAAAACTAGACAGAAAAATCATTAGAACTCATCAGCTTATCAAAGTCATGACATAGAGGATTTATGTGCAGAAATGATTGCTCTTCTGTAGACCAGAAACAAACAAATAATATCAAAATGCAAGGCCCCAAGAAATGGCTTAAATACACAACTTTATTTAAAAAATGTAACTTTAAATAACTTAAAATGGATATTTAGATTTTAAAGTACAAGAACTATTAAAATAGGAAAACTTCAGTACAAAGAAGATTCTCTCAGATTAAATGGTTGAATATTCTAGAGATGCTAACTCCTAAATTGATCTGTAGATTTTCACAGAACTTGATGACCTGACTGTAAACTGGTTGTAGAACAGAGGGCCCAGAATAGCCAAGAACAGAGCTGAGGAGTTCCGTCCTCCTCAGTTGCTGGAGGGATTTAACTTCTGTAGTTGAAACACTTTAATAAACTGGTGGAGCACAGTACATGCCTCACCCATCTGTGCTAATATGGAACCTGATCCTTGACAAAGCAATATCTGTCACAGCCCAGTGGTGAAAGGGTCACACTTTGAATGTGCTTGGAAACTGGTTATCCTATGGGGGAAATGATTAAAAATGATGTCTGCTTTATACACCAGCTGGACCAAAGGCTTTAACATGAAAGCCGGTACATTCAGAGTAGAGAAAAGCCTAGTCTTGGTCATGGTGCCTTTTCAGGCTTTACTACATTGTACCAGGTTACAGAATAAATGCAAATTAAGTAATCAGAGCCAAGGCAATGACTTGTCCTTGAATGAGGTCATAAGGCTTCTGTCCTCCTGTGCTTTCATAAGACAGTGTTCATTCTCTGCCCTTCATAAGCAATGAAGATGCTTCTCTGCATCTCCAGTAGTTTTATTAGGAAGACTTTTGTTCATACAGTTCATAACACCAACTTTGTCCTGTTTACTGAAGCCCATCGATAATTTGTTTGCCTTTCTGTTTATTGGTGATTTGATAATACATGCCCATACAGTTATTGGTTCATAAGAGATAGATAAATATGAAGCATAGGAAAAATCTTTTATTATTTCTGGTTTGTTGTTAGCAGTGCCCAAGTATGCCAGATGGGCATAGTCAGGCCCAAGGTAAATAGAGCCAGAAAAATAAAATAAAATAATGGCCTTCATCCTTTAATGTTGCATTTCTCCTTGTTGTCTTTTACCTTTTGTTTTTTGTTTTGTGTTGTTTTGGATATTTTGCAAGAAGGAAATATCCCCACTAACATTTAATATTTAAATATTAAGTTAGTTTGGAAATGTGACTTTTCCCTGGAACCTTCTGTAAGTTTGATTTGGTTGGTTTTTTTCTTGTTAGACACTGTTGATTCCATTACTCCTGACAAAGTGCGCGGCTTGAGGGACATGCTGAACAGTAGTGCAATGGACATAATGTACTATACTAGCCCACTTTATAGGGATGAGGTAAGTACCATGACCATCTGGTCCTGTTAGGTGTGCTTTAACTAGCTTTTTTAATAGTGAATTTGATCAGCTTCAGACAAGTAATATAAATAAATCTAATTAATGGATAGGTAGGTAGGTAGGTAGGTAGGTAGGTAGGTAGGTAGGTAGGTAGGTAGGTATAAAACTTACAGAAGTAGAGACTGGAAATGAAGGATCATTCTGAACTCATGATTTATAAAATATGCTTACAGGTATTATATACACATATATAAAATGTGTATGTGCGTGCTTGTGTGTTTGCATACTGTGTTTACATACATGCATACATTTCCCAGGCATGTATACTTAAATAGCCAAGAAACAAGGATCCCCTTTACCTCACTGAGCACACTAACACCCAGATGGTTGTAGTTTCTTATTCCCCATGAAGAAAAATTACAGTTCCTTGTGAATATAGCTGATTTGGAGGCCAAAGCAATTTGTGCCAGAAGCTAAACAATAATGGCAGGTCACAAGGATAGGAGCTAGAGCACCATTCCAGTTGGCTGAGTCTGAAAATGTTTGGGCACCAAAGTGGTTCACTGTTACTACAGGAATTGTTAGTACTTTAATGTGGCCTATAATAATGACAATGCAGTGAAGGGTTTTTTCAATCTTGTATTGATTATAATTGGAAAAATTAAGTGGGAAGCAAATACATGTCCCTTGCTTTTAGTAGAGCGCTAAAGCTGACTGGGGTTAGAAAGTCATTTACGGCTGTCGTGGCAGTATTTGGTATAATGAGACTGGACATGAATCATCAGTGAATATGAAATTGAGGTCAGTGTTTTGTTTAGGAGCAGGCTAATTGTCTGCATCCCCACAGACTGCTCACTGGTCCATAAAAGAGAAGCGGTAATTACACACAGGAGAAATCAGGCAGCGTCTGTCCTGGGTTTACCTGAGGGACAGGTGGACATTGTGCACCTTTGGATATGATACCCAGTGGAGGATGCAACACCCCCTGTGCAGCATCATAATATTGAGGAAATACCTGAGAAACACAAACAAGGATTGGGGCTGGAGCTGTAATCTTTTAACCTGTCAATGTCATAGAAGACAGTAATTACAGGAACCATTCCCAATTACAGGAGGTGAAGAGATCTTATAAATACTGTACCCCATTTTCTCCTGTCCTGTAGTGGATGAGGAAGCTGCAGGAATGAATGACAGAGTTGAGTTGTGGTGGTAGATTAGATAAAATATATACAAATAGTGCTGTGTGACACGAATAATTTTACTAGAAATATCCCTAGTATTAGGGATATACAATGAAGTATTAAGGGATAAAAGACGACAGTGTGTATAGTAGTATATCCCTAAGTAATTACCAGATGTTTTAGGAAGGTGTGCATTTGTACATTTACAGAAACAGAGATAAATAACTCAAATGTGATAAATGCTAACAAAAGGAGAATCTCAATAAAAGATAATGTGTTGGGGTGTTTTTGTTTTTGTTTTTTAATTCTGTGTTGTGAAGAGGTGAAAGTGCATGTGAGTGCAAGTACCTATGGGGTCCAGAAAAGGGCATGTGCTCCCTTGGAGCTAGAGTTAGCAGGTGGTTGTGAGCCACCCTACATGGGTGTTGAGAACTGAGCTCGGGTCTCTGTGCTTTCAGAACCCCTGAGCCAGCTCCAGCCCAGACATTTGATGTTTTTTACTAATTTTGCTTTGTAACATTTTATGTTTTCTAACAAAAAGCTGGGGAAACAAAGTATTTAAGTTAAGGGGAAAAACAGTTTTCTAGGTCCATCCCTAGAGGTTGTGATTCACTTGGTCTGAAATGGAGCCTGTGTTTATATTTTAAATTAGCAGTTCCCCTAGGTGATACCATCAGGGAATTCTGGGTAGTTCTTCTGAAAGCATTTTGAAGAACAAAAGGAGCGCATGGGAAGAGGTGGGCACAGGTGTGCTCGCTCACTCATTTACCATAGGACAGTCTGTAAATTAAAACCCCTCATATTGGGGCCGGAGATGTGACTCAGCAGTTAAGAGCACTTATACTCCTTCGTTGAACCCTGGTTCAGTTCCCAGCACCCACGTGGTGGTTTACAACCATGGTGATTCCAGTTCCAGGGAATCCTAACCCTTTCTCACATCCTCCAGGCACCTGTGGTGCACAGACATATATTCAGACAAATCATAAAATTCATAAAAATAATCAGAAAAGGTTGTAATCCCTCTTGTTACTCTTAACATCGGAAGTAAAATAATCAATGAATAGGAGGAGCATGTTTGTTTATTGTGGTGAAGACCTTTGTCATAGCAAAACTGCCTTAAACAATGGACACTCCCTTCAACATGGGAACAAGGGAGCAGGTGTATGCTAAGTCACCACCAGCCAGCGGTGCCACAGAAGGCGCGCTCCACAGCAGTTAATTTGAGTCACCCCTTGATCTCTTGACTCTGAGTTTCTCAAGGGAAAAACCCTAAGTTTGTTAATGGTCACAGACAAGCCAGGGTTAGAGGGACAAGGCTGTGTGCCAGCTAGTCCTTCTCAATCACTTTCTAAGACTTGCACTAAAAAAACAAATAAACAAACAAAAACATGAAAATGGGATGCTTTTTGCCGTGTACTGAAGTACTTCTGTGTCCACCTAGTATAAGCCTTAGAATCAGGACCTTCATAAGTAAATAATCATACAGAGCTGAGTCAGTGTGTGTCTGCCCGAACACACACAGCACCCTGGATTCAGTCCCAAGCAAAACACCTGTGTCAGTGTCTGTCTGCCCAGCTCACACAGCACCCTGGATTCAGTCCCAAGCCAAACATTGTGCTCCTTCTCTGTGGCTGCTGCATGAATTATAAGGAAGGAAGTTTTTTAATCTTATGGATTGTTGGTATTGCCAGATCTCACTCCAGAGAATTACAGCTCTCACAGCGTGATGGTGTTCTCCTTAGACCTGAGGTTTTACCTACAACCCAAGTCTCAAAAGGCTTTTATATCCATTTGTCCTTGAACTATTAATTCTTAAAGTAGAGTTCTCAGGCCAGCAGCACCAACATTTTCCAAGAACTTGTTACAAATGCAAATTCCCAGGCTCTGCAGAGCCTCTGCGTCAAGAACTCCAAGCCAGAGCCACCAGTCTGCTTTTAGCAGTCTGTCCAAGTGATCCTGATACACGTGAAACTTGGAGAACAGTTGCCACTAAAGAGACTCTTCCTCTCTGTGTCTCATTGCCAGAATATATTGCATCAGACATCACATAGCTTCAGTAGCTCAAATTAGCCTCAGGTTTTATTGAACTCTAAGATGTCAACAGAGAATGCCGGGGCTTCATGTGTGTCATCACTGAGCCTACTGATCATAAAGTATAAGAGGGAAGGCCACGCTATGCTATCCCGTGAAGAATGTGCAGTAGCAGCTGATGGAGTTGGGTTGTCTCTTGATACAACATGATTTTAAATAGAAGTTATAAAAAACTCTGTCAGAGCCACAGCTGGCTTGTTAAGAACTAATGAGACACAAATGAATAAAAACTGAAAATTTATAATCAAAGAGAAGAAACAGTAAGGAGAGAGGTCTACAATAAACTTCAGATCAGGGTCCAGGATGGGTGTGAGAGATTAAGTAGCCACCTTGTGGATTTGGGAGGGGTAATTTCAATAGCTTCACAAAGTTGAAGTACTGAGCTGCTTCACCACAGTGGTTTTATTAGTTGATCTCAGTCACAGATGTCATCTTTTATTATCTGTTACCAACATAATGAGATGTGAAGTATCAAGGTCTCCTGGTGATTTTTCCATACCGTAGCCTCTTACTGTATTCTCTTAACTATGTAATGTATATTTAATATATCTATTGTAAATGTATGTTCTTTTTTAAAATATTACTATGCTAAAACCATTATAAATGTATGTTCTTTTTTAAAATGTTACTATGCTAAAACCCACACACTGAAACTTTAGAATTGACATACAGTAAGTTGCAATGAAGTAGAAGTTTCCAAGGGTCTTTGGAGATCTTATTAGAATCTAAGAGGAATTTTTTTTTCTGTCTGTGGCTAGTGTAATTTACTGAAAGCCTCCAAAAGGATCCTCATGGGTAGTATCTGCCTGTGTTGTACTCTGTGGTGATGGTAGGGTGTGTAGCATATATACATACCTCCATCCCTGTATCTTTTTAAAGCACCTGAGTAAATGTAATAACTGGTTTACATTTCATCAGTCATGGTTGTTTTTCTTAATACACTTACATTTAGAAGTAAAGTTTACAGCCCTCGGTGAAAAATCTAATATGAGTATATTTTCTTATTTCAAACAGCTAGTTAAAGGCCTTCAGCAAGAGCTGAATCGATTATATTCCCTTTTCTGTTCTCGGAATCCAGACTTTGAAGAAAAAGGGGGTAAAGTCTCAATAGTGTCCCATTCCTTGGGGTGTGTAATTACTTATGACATCATGACGGGCTGGAATCCAGTTCGACTCTATGAGCAGCTGCTACAGAAGGAGGAAGAGCTGCCTGATGAACGATGGATGAGCTATGAAGAGCGACACCTTCTTGATGAACTCTATATCACGAAAAGACGGTAAACGACCCTGTATTTTTTAAAGAGTTGCAAATGTCTTTACGGAATTGCTAATGTTCTTAGAGAAAGCCTTGGGTCTGGAGAGGTGGCTGCTCTTTCGGAGGACCAGAGTTCAGTTCCCAGCACCCACTTCAGGCTGCTCACAACTCCCTGTAACTCCATCTCTGAGAAATCCAGTGCCCTTCTCTGTATTCACACATACGTAGTTAAAATTAAAATTTTAAGTAAAAAAGAGAAAGCTTTATGCTTTGTTCAGGGTAAAAATTACTAGACAACAATCTAACTAAGCTATAGGTTATTAATTTTTATACTTTCTGCAAAATAGTTTGATTTGCCTCCTTCCATCTTTGCTCACAGTTGTTCCCAGTGTTTGTAGTGTGTAATCATTTGTTTTGCTGTACCATCATCATCATCATCATCATCATTATTATTATTATTATTATGAAAATAACATTAAAGCTTCATTATTCTTGGCAAATTATTTTACATGTTATCCTTATTAACAATTATATAGTATAGAATTATAAACAGATTTAATGATAATATGACCATCGTGTCCTTCTTAGTATCCTTTAACTCTTTGTAACATTATTATCTTAATTTATACTTGCATTCTCCATCTTCTTTGTCCTTTTACTGATGCAAGTTTATAATGAAAAACACTAATTGTGATAGTTTAGCTTTTAAAAAACAGCTGAGTTAATGGACAAATCTTTACTCAGAAAGTGCTGACTTTGTTTTACTCTGAGTAGTCATCTCAGGAATTAGGTGCCATAGATGTAAATACCATGATAGCAAAAACGATTATTAGTCTTGGAAGAAAATGGTATTTAGCTTAATCCTGGCACTCTAGAAACAGAGGCAGGTGGATTTCTGAGTTTGAAGCCAGGCTGGTTTGTAAAGTGAGTTCCAGGACATCCAGGATTACACAGAGAAACCCTGTCTCATAAAAACAAAAAAGAAAATAAGTTGACAGTCCTCAGAGCATCATCTTTAGATGTGTAAATCTAGTGAGACTGCAGTGGACCTGAATTTGATTCCCAGCACCTTGGTCAGACAGCACAGTCACTTGTTACCCCAGCTCCAGGAGACCCCACACCCTTTCCTGACTTGTACAGGTGCTGTATTCACATTTATCCACATGCACACACATGGTTAAACATGAAACCCAAAAAAAACACTCAAAATTGTTTAAAAAATGTAATCATGGTAGCGCAAGCCTGTAATCCTAGCACTTGGGAAGCAGAATCAGGAGGATTGGGAGTTCAAAGTCAGCCTAAGCCACGTGAGACTGTCTCAGAAAAACTAAGGAAATAGATAAGTAAATGAGTAAGTATGTCTCAGAAAGTGAGCTATAGCTTTCTTGAGAAAGAAATGTAAGCTAATGTATTAGATGTGAGCAAAACTGGAGTGTGATAAAAGCAACTCAAGTGTGTCTTAGAGAAGGCTTGAAGGTGGTTTCTCATGTGGTGGACAAATAATGGCTGTTTTAGCAATTAAAATAGGTAGGGGCAATGCAATGAAGAGACCTATAAAATTCATTAGTAAGTATAAAAAAGGAAAAGAAAAATTGGATGAGAGAGTATAAAGTGTAATTTTTAAAGCAACATAGGTAGGTAGGTATGTAAATAGATAATTATATATATACGTGTATATATATATATATATATATATATACATACATACATACACATACACACACACACACAGGTGTCATATGAAGTACCTTTGCAGTCCTTGAGCAGTACAGCAGGAACATTAATTAAACATTGTCACAGATGAGGTTTAGTGTGAGGGCCACCATTTGCTTCATAAAGTTGTAAGTCCCTAATACAATGAGGATTTGTAATGAAACTATAAATGAATGTGTGATCTCGTGCTACCTCCTAGGCTGAGGGAAATAGAAGAACGGCTGCATGGATTGAAGGCGTCATCCATAACACAAACACCTGCCTTAAAATTTAAGGTAAGGGAGGGGATCAGCTTCTCATTGTCTTGGTGCTTTTTGAACGTTTGATTGAGTGTGGTGTCCTGAAACAAATGAAAGTGTAGTCGTGGTTGGTTACATACTATTACATACAGTGCTTGGACACTGTTGCTTCAGAGAACAGCATGGGCAGGATGGTTCTCCATCCCCGGGATTTAACAGTCAGTGCCTCGGAGCCCTTGAGCCGAGTGCAGAGCAGTGATGTACTAGAGAAGGGTGACTCTCCTTCTGTCCAGTTCTAAAGGATGAACACTTGGCAAGTGGGAAGAGGAAAAGTTGAGACAGATGTGTGGGATGTTTACTGTTTAGAAATAAAGAAAAGTGTGGTCAGCAGCAAGAAGAAAATAAAAGGATGAAGACAGGCATGAATTCAGAGTAGGAAGTGGGGCGCTTCAGTTCATGAGTCTAGAACAAAAGCCCCAGACAAGGCTCCCAAGGTCAGTTTCGCTGGAGCTTTCAGGACTTGGCAAGGAAGGGGCTGTGAGAGAAAAGGAACTGCCATCTGCTTGAGAGGGGCAGAGTGAAACTAGTTTTTCAACTAGTTAAAACTGCTCTAGTAAAGCACAAGGTGGAGGAGACAGCCGCACTGACAGTAAGCGCTCTTGGAAGCACTCTCACCTGCAGTAGTAACAGAAGCTGGTGTAAGCCTCGAACACTTGCTGTCTGCATGTGCAGTGCACCACATCACCTGCCCCTGGTGCGTCTCTTCTCATACCCGAGCTTAGTGTGCAGCTAAAGTGTGGGGTGATAGAGGGGAAAAAAAAAATGGTACTGACCTTATGACTTTCACAGTTCTTCTTTAACTGGCATTTATCTTTCTGAGTATGGGTGAATGTCTATATGAATATATGTAAATCATATGTGTGCCTGGTGCCTGCAGAGGCCATAAGAGGGTGCCAGATTCCTGTAACTAGGCTCCCCCACACTGATTTTCTTTTAACTTAAACCATACAAATTGTTGAGCTGGCCTCACAACTCGGTGGCACAGTGCTTGGTCAATATGTACAAGGCACTCAGTTTAATCCCTAGCACTCTGCACGTGGGGGTCGGGGGCGGGCCGGGGGCATGGTGAAATGGTGAGGTTGAAACATGCATTTCAAGAATATGGTCTCTGGAGTTATCTTAATCTAGAATTTAAATACCAACACTATCATGTATGATTAATGCTAAATGTATAAATGTATCTGATAGATAAGAAAACTTTTTTACTAGAGAATTCCGTAGAACACATCAAGCATATTATGGTCTTACATTCAGTACCACATGACTAGAACCTGTGCATATAATTGGGTTTCTTTAGATGCAAGTCATGGAATCAGACTCCTCATAGTTATTTAGAGGAAAACACAGAAGTCGAGAATTAAGAAGGGTAGCTGAGAACCTGGTGAGTTCTACTTGGGACTTAATGGGTCAGAGGGAAACAGTTTTTCTGTGTGGGTAGCCAGCAGATAGATTGACCTTGAGGATGCTGGTGTCCACCTGTTGCAGCTTACCTTTGACCTCCAAAACCAGGAAAAGAAGAGCAGTGGCAAGCATCAGTGTGTGGTTTGGACAATGAAGCTTTGAATTGGTTGTGATTTTTGGCCTGTCTAGTTAGTAATATTAGCCAGGTCATGTAATATTTCTAAACTCAGCTGTTTACTTGTCTCTGAACATGGACGCTAAACTCAATAATCTAAACTTCCTTTTTGTCTTCAAAATTCTTTGATGGGGACTGGTGAGATGGCTCAGCAGGGAAAGGTGCTTGCTGTGCAAGTCTGGTGACCTGAGTTCAATCCCTGAAACTCACATAAAGGTAGAAGGAAAGAATCGACTTTACAAAATTGTCCTCTGACATCCACATGTGTGCCGTGGTACACACATGATATGTTTTAAATTATTTGACAGTCATAACAGTACCTCTGTATGTCAGACTGCAGTCATCATAAAATGATACGGAGGAAATAACTTAACAGATGTTCATGGAGTGACTAGCTGATGCAGAAATCATTTTGCACAAAATGTCATAGCTTCCTCTTGTCACCTGTTTTTTGTATATTGGATGCTGGTGCAAGTGTGTGTGTGTATGATGTATGTCTGCACTAGAATATGCAGCTGTTTGCCCTACATACACAGAAGTCAGAGTACAAAGCCAGATATTTTGCTCTGTCACTCTGCCTTATTGCCTTGGGATAGAATCTCTCACTGACCGAGTAGCTTTCCATTTTGACTAGGTTGCTGGCTTGTGGGGTTTCAGAATCCCTCTGTCTGCCCCACAATCCTGGGGTGACAGACATGCATAACCATTCCCAGCTTCTTTTTTTTTTTTTCCCAACTTTTTTATTTGAATTAGAAACAGGATTATTTTACATGACAATCCCAGTTCCCTTCTCCCACCCATCCTCCCTTACCCTCCCCCAACTAAAACCTTATCTATCGCGTATCTTTTCTGCTCCCCCTGGATGGTGAGGCCTTCCATAGGGTATCATCAATGTCTATTGTATCCTAGCCTAGGCCTGCCCCTGTGTGTCTTGGCTCAGGGAGTATTCCTCTATATGGAATGGGCTCCCAAAGTCCACACCTATGCTAGGGATAAATACTGGGCTTCGACAGGAGGTCCTGTAGATTTCTGAGGTTTCCTCACTGAAACCCATGTTCCTGGCGTCTGGATCCGTCCCATGCTGGTATCTCAGCTGTCAGTCTAGGGAGCAAGAGTTCCCTAATGTTCAGGTCAGCTATTTCTGTGGGTTTCACCAGCCTGGTCTGGACCTCTGTGTTCTTCACTGGTCCTTCTCTGCATCTGGGTTCCAGTTCAGTTCCACACCCAGTTTCTTTACAGGAGTGCTAAGGATTCAAATTTAGGCCATCATGCTTGAAGACTAAGTACTCTTACCCACTGAGCCATCCCACCAACCCTTGTTTTTGCTTTTTGAGACAGAATCTCAAGTATTCCAAGCTAATCTCAAAATTACCTGGTAGCCCAGGCTAGCCTCAGACGCCCAGTCCTGCCTCAGTCTCATGAGTGCTGGGATTACAGTCATGAGCCACATGTACAGCCTAATCCTCTGTCTCTTTCAGACCTCCTTCTGTCACTTTATAGAACTGGTTTATATCAGCCGTCCCTAGTATTTGCAGTGCTTTTCCTTGGGTTGGGCAGGGTGGTGATAGGATTCGTGAGGGCTCTGGGTTCAGAAACACAAAGGCACCATTTCAGAATATCCACTCAAAATATTCATGGATATTTTTTCACTCTAAAAATAAAAGTCATTCTATCATCTTTTTGGAAAGAGTTAAGGTGTATAAAATTGGAGGCCGAGATCCTATCACAATATAGTTAGGATGACAGATGAGGAGATTAGGAATAGAATCGGATTTACGTGATGCCACTTTATCCTGGTTCTTTCTTTCCCTCTCCCTTCTAGAGTGCCCCTTCCTCCTGCTGACTAAATGTAGATTTGTGTCCAGCTGTCCGTGTTGTGAGCACACCCTGGGCAAGCTGGTTGACTTTGTTGGCCTCACATGCTGTGACTGCAGTGATGGTGATGGAGATGGAGATGGAGATGGCAGAAGACACAGTTCTGTCTGCATTGCTGTCTCTGACCCCTTCCTTATCGTCTCCATCCAAGCATGTGACCCCACTCTACCCTCGAATGTCCCCATCATGAATGACAGCTGGGCCTGGCCTACTCCACATTCTCTCTTGCCTCTTTTCTTTCAAGAGATTTTTTTCCCAAAAGTAGTATCTCAATTTTCTGGTTAAGCTTCCTGGAGTATGGGTTAATAAATGCTGTTTTTCACTGCCTAAAATATAAATTAAACCTGTCTTCCTTTATAGTCAGAGATCTGAATGGTATCCCAAGAAGATTCTCTCTCTCTCTCTCTCTCTCTCTCTCTCTCTCTCTCTCTCTCTCTCTCTCTCTCTCTCTCTCTCTCTCTCTCTCTCTCTCTCTCTCTCTCTCTCTCTCTCTCTCTCTCTCACACACACACACACACACACACACACACCTTTTCAATCTTACCTATGTCTTTTCTCAAAATCTCAAAAATCATGCAGTACCTTTCTCTCTCTACTTTAGTCCATGAGTATCAGTCTTGTCCTTCATTCTCCTAGCCCTGATACCCACTCTCTACTGTAGAAATCCTTATTCCCTTGTATTGGCCACAGCTTGCCCCACCCTCTGCAAAGCCCTCACAGTTAGAGGCTCCATTCTTCTATACCATTCTTTGCACAGTGGCTCCCACACAGAACTGTGAGCGGGGAATAGTGGCTCTCCTCTGCTGGTCCCCAGCAAGACCTAGTGTACTGATGTAGTCACCTGTCCTGCCTTAATACATCCCTAACTATTGAATAGAATAAATAGAAACAATAATGGCATGCTTCTCCTTATCTCCTTCCTTTTCTCAGTTTTAATTTCTGTTATTTTAAAATAATGAAAACCCTCCTGGAAGTAAATTACTATAAAATCATTAGTGGCTGGTATGTAATTAGCAAGTAATGTAAACAAAGCTTACTTAAAACATATACTTAGATAATTTTGTTGTTTGCATTAATTATGTAACATTATCTCTGGATTCTGTTGAAAATAACACTTCGTCATTTTTTAAATAATTTAGGATGGCTTTTTTCATTTTAGGTGGAGAATTTCTTCTGTATGGGATCCCCGCTAGCAGTTTTTTTGGCATTGCGTGGCATCCGACCAGGAAATACTGGAAGTCAAGACCACATTTTACCTAGAGAGATTTGTAACCGCTTACTAAATATTTTTCATCCTACAGACCCAGTGGTGAGTTTTATTGTGAGCTTCCTAGATTCTGAGCTGCTTGCTGCTCTGTGAGAAACCTTGCTGGGGGGCCATGAGCTAACAAGAGAACTCATTTTCTGGCTGGTTGGAAAGGTTACAATTTAACACTGTGTGTTGTTCATTCAGAGGTCATGACATAAAATGTTAGAGAGGGTCTTCTCTCGTCACACCTTATCAGGGACTGAAGAGGTGGCTCAGCTGCTCTTGCATAGCACTTGGGTTTGGTTCCCAGCACATCTTCTAAACAATTATAAAAATAGTACCCCTGGACATCTGTACAAGAGACAAGAATCTACCCAGTAGTAACTCCAGTTGCCCAGGAACAGATCTTAAAGTCCTGCTTTGAAGGCTGGCAGGAGAACATGCCTGACGACCTGGGGTTACTCCCTGCAGCCCATGTGATGGAAGAGGAAAGCACCTCCTGCAAGGTGTCCTCTGTCCTCTGTGCATGGCCTGGTATAAGGCACAAAAGTAAATATGTAAATACAAAAAATACTTTCCCTTCCCGAATCAAGGTCTATTTTTCTGAAACATCCTATAAAATTGAGATGAGTAACAGATCCTCTTGAAAGGGAAAACCATGTATTTAGTTGAATCAAAGTATAAAATACTCATTTTTAAAATTTTTCTACTATATCTGTTCTTTTAAATATTTTTAAATGTAAAACCTCCAAGATCTTGCATCCATTTGTAAATAGTCAGAGACAAGAAGAGGTCTTTAGACAAGACAGGTACTTTCAGGCTGGAATGCAGCTCAGCAGTAAAGTGCTTAGTTTACAGGAGGAACCTGGTTCAATTTTCCACCACACAGTGAAGAAGTTTCCTTACGTCTTGTTAGAGTTAACAGTCAGTATAACACACACATTATCTGAAAGTAGTTTTTATTATAATTGTGTAAGTCTTTTGAAAGATCATTAGCTAGCACCAAATAAACACTGACGGACTATTCAAATTTTAGAAACTCCAATGTTTTTAAGCTTACAACTGCCATGTTTAAGAGAAAGTTAAACCAACTGAAACCAAGGAGCTGAAAATAAGCTTCCGCCAGGATGACAGCCTAAGTCTGTTAGAGGCTGGAATACAGAGTACAGTCTCGGCAATCACCTTAAGAGCAGGGTGTCTGTATGTACAAATGTTTTTCTGCACACATGAATTCTGTCTTCTTTGTACGTCTCAAGTTTGCCTTTTATGTGTTTGGTTCTGGGATTTGAACCCAGACCTTCACGTGCCCTCAGCATGCATCTTGCCACCAAGCTGCATTATTTCTCCTAATACTTTCTTCATTGTTTCGTATGGACCTTTGCTAGGCAGGTTATGCAGACATTCTCCTTCCTCCTCTGAGACAGCTCTGAGATTTTGACCTAGTAAATGGCAAACAGTTAATGACAGTGATGGAGGTGAGAATCTGTGCTGTGGGATTCTGATGCTACGCCTACAACTGTTGATTGACTCATTGCTATCAACAGCAGTCTTTTGTTGGCTTTCAAGTTAGGCTCTTATTGGAGTCACGTGTTTGAAATCAAGAATAATAAAAGATCTAAATATTAGAGACTGACTTTGTTGACTACCTTTTGGGCTGTCATCCACCACTTTGCTTTGTGAGTCTGACATAAATCTTATTAGACCCCATCAGAATGTGGTTAAAACAGTCTTTTTCTCTGAAAATGAATTAATAGATACCATTAGTCAAAACTAACTCCAGTTGTTTTTATAATCTCATCATTAGGGATATGTAACTAGACCACCGCATATATTAACGGTGAAAAATGTAGAGGTATATTTTATTACTCTAAGATTTACTTACTCAATTTATTCAACAGCTTTAGGAATAAACATTTTACTAAAATCTAGACATTGTGTGTTAATATTGTATTTCTATGCATTTTTAAATATCTAGGCCTACAGATTAGAACCATTGATTCTGAAGCACTACAGCAACATTTCACCAGTCCAGATCCACTGGTACAACACTTCAAATCCTCTACCTTACGAGCATATGAAGCCAAACTTTCTCAACCCAGCAAAAGAACCTACCTCAGTTTCGGAGAATGAAAGCATTGCCAATATCCCGAGCCCCGTGACCTCCCCAGTCTTACAACGGCGCCACTACGGAGAGTCCATAACTAACATTGGCAAAGCAAGCATATTGGGTAAATTTCTCTCGATTCTTATCCACAGATGGAAAGCACTTGAGTTGGGACTGGTTGGAAATACACTGTTAGAAAACTTCCAACTGTCAATGTCCTGGAATTAGCTTCCCTGCTGACTGAAGCAGAAACTCTGATGTCCACCAGTTACACTGAAGAACAAGAAACAGCATTCTGCTCATTGTAGTCTGGCCTGTGACTTGCTGGGGTTTCCTTGTTTTTATTGTTCCACTTCCGCCTCAGCACTCTGGGAGAATCTCCCCATCGGGATGCCTACATCTTCTGAAAGTCAAATGGTTTGGTGTTTTTGCTTCCTAGGGCAGTGGGGATATTTCGTCTCTCTTTGAGTAACTTCTTGTGCCAGCACAGAAACTGGGCATTTCAATAGCGTACCACTTGAATTTATCCTTTGTTTCTGGTTGAGTGTCCTTTATATAAATGCCACAAGATGGCACTATAAGTAGGCTTTCCCTACCAAACTTGCTTGCTATTTGACTTCATACTCAAAGGTTATTAACAGCTTTTTATACCATAAATTTAGTAAGGCATATACCTATTAATAGTAGCTATATGTCCCGTGTCAACAGCATGAGTCTTTTGTTAGAAGTTTTCATTTTGCCAGATACTTCCATAACAGTGAACATTTGGATAAAATACCATCTTGGTTGCTCTGGTTGTATATTCATGTATCTATATTCCTAGAATTTATACAAATTTCCTTCTCTTAAACATCATTCTTATTTAGGAGTCTACATAGAAATTGGAATTTTTTTTTTTTAGGTCCCCACCCTGGAAAAGAATGAGTATGTCTTGGTCCCTCTGCCAGTTGGCTGTAATTATGGGTGGTGCTCTACAGTGTGCCGTGAGATGAGTCAGCAGAGTAACTGCCTGTTTTGTGACACACAGGGGCTGCTAGCATTGGAAAGGGGCTTGGAGGAATGTTGTTCTCAAGATTTGGACGGTCTTCAACATCACAGTCATCTGAGCCATCTAAAGACACAGTGGAAGACGAGAAGAAGCCTGTCGCTTCTCCTTCTACCACCACTGTGGCAACGCAGACCCTGCCGCACAGCAGCTCCGGCTTCCTTGACTCTGCATGTTAGTTCCTACGGTTCTCCTTAGCTTACGCGCTTACCTCTATAGCTTCAGAGGGCTGGGAGGACAGGAGGACTGACGGTCCCTGTTCAGGTCTGAAAAGAGTACTTCCTAGGCAAATGCAGTTTTAGTGTCTGCAGTGACAAGTTACTAGGTCATTTTAAACAGGGCTCTTCAGCAAAAAAGGTCTAAATTATCAAACACAAGACAGTCTCTGTGGGGTAAGTGCCCCTAACTTTTACAAAGTATATTTTCACGACAATCACCAAGGTTTAAATTTCACATTGTCTCTATAAATGTGTCCTATGTCTGGCCTTGAGAGTTCTGAACTGAGAGCCCTGCAGCTAAGCACACTGGCTTTATGAGCCCTCCAAAGCTGAGGCGTTTTACTGTGTCCCTCTGTATGCCCTCTCTTCCTGCCCTGGTTACCTAGTGTATAGTATAGTATCAATTTCTCTGAGTAGGTACACGTAGCGTTAAGGCGCAACTTCATTTTTTTTACAGTGGATTTCAGATGTTTTTGATCTTAATTAACTGTGACATGCTAGTCCATCAGCGAACGTTACCTTTAAGTGTCCAGTAACAACACTAACACATCGGGTGGTCCCATCAGTGGGATAAGTTCAGACAAGTTCTAAAGTAGCTGCTCCCTTTCTGAAGCTAGCAAGAAGAAGTGGACTGCTCCAGTAAGAGACCCCATTGCAGTTACTGGTAGCATTATGTTCTTGCTGTGTCTGCCACCCTGAATTTTTGAGTGACCAGCAACCAGAACACATCACGGTGGCATCCTAGAGCCTGTATTGTGCCTCCACACTCTGCCCCCTCCAGGGTGGATTAGCAGTAGGGCTAATTTTCCTGAGTCTTACACTATTGTTCACTTGGTTTTACTTAGAAACGTGACCACAAATATATAAACATTACTGACATGCAGAAATCAAAACTGTTAGCTTCTGAAGAGAATTATTTTAAAGGACTTTAGTGAGGTGGCATTGAGAAGTTACGGTTCTCTGTAGTCTTGCTACTGCACAGCAGAGATGCTGATGAACAGCGGCAGTGGGGACCCCCAGAAAAAGGTGTGAACACATACAGAATCTGTTCTCTTGTGTGAACTTACTGCCAAACATGTCTCAAATGGCAGCAGAGAAACAGTTCTTTCTTCCCGTGTCTTCCCTCAGACCTAGACCCCAATATGTGCTGTGCTTGCAGTCTGCAGTCCTGCTGAGCTACACCCCAGTCTTGTTGTGTCATGCTTACACTTAATGTCTTACCAGTCTGCATGTTAAATTCCAACCTTAGTCTCAACTGTATCTGAAATAATCATGAGTCTTTGTTTCCTATAGTCATCTCTCAATAGAGACAGGACTGTTACAATCAGATCTATGACTATGATTCTGTCTTAGTAATTCTTTGACTTGCCTCAGTAGTGTACCCTTCTGTGTAATCCTGAGTTTTATGCAGCAATTGCTGTCTTGCAATCCTGAAACTTCTCTTCCTTGAATCTTTTTGGAATTTGGCCATTGTGATCAAGTGACTGAGCTTCCTTCCTCCCTCCTCCTCCTCACATTGATTGCCTCAGCTCTTCAGGATAACCTGTATTCTGACGCCACTGTCTTTGAATCTCATTATCTGAGGGTAAGGAGGACACAGGCTGAATTCGTGACCAAGTTTTCTCTTTGAAGAGTAAGTGTTGTTAGTTGGCCTTCTTTATTTTTTCATCAAGCTGACACGTCTTATGTAGCTAGCCAAGACCAGCTCATTTTAAAGTATTTTATGGCTTCATTCCTTGTGTCCCTGTGTTTGTAACATGTTGTGAAAGGAAAGGATCTGTTTCTTTTAGGGGCTTTTTTGTTTGTTTTCATTTTATTGCCCCAGGTTACAACCTGAATTAGCACTAAGTTTGAGGAGAGTAGAGCTATCAACAGATTCTGACATTACACTTGAGAACTGAATTGTGCTTACATTTTCTATGAAGCAGCTCTTCACAGAAAGCTAGGGGTGTGCTTCTTTGTGCATGCTAGGCTTAATCAGCATATTTGGAAAGTTGCGCTAACGTTTTGACCATTGCAACACTGAAGGCCATTTTTGACTATCAGCCTTGCCTTTACAGCATCTTGTTTGTTTTTTTTCACAGATTTCAGACTTCAAGAATCGTTCTTTTATCTCCCACAACTTCTTTTTCCGGAAAATGTAATGCAGAATAAAGATGATAGCCTCGGTATGGTATATGTCAGGGTGGCACTCAGCACACTGTGAAAACGGTCTTAGAGATTGGCTCAGTGAGAACTGGGAGAGCCTCTGGAAGAGCAGCCTCGATGCTGCCACTTCAGACTATATGTGTATTTTCTCTCTTCAGTGGTAGAGTTCGCGTCCACTTCAGTTGCTAAAAAATACAGCACTCCTACAAAGGAGGACTTCAGAGACAGGAGAAAGGCATTAGGTCCCTATCTGTCTTCCTTATTGTCCACAAGGCCTCAGACATTTTTGCTGTTCTTCTCATGTCTATACTTAAATATAAAATGGTTCCTGATACAGAGAACTGCATCACTCTTAGTTGTTCCCAATGTCTGACGTTAGCACTTGGTGTGTGGGTCTGCCACAGCTGACAGCTCATTCCAGCACAAACACTGATTGTCCTCCACCAGGGTGGACAGTGATACTTTAATGCAGTGATACTGATGCAGGGGTGTTCTCAGTCTTCCTTTACAGCACACTCTGAATCTATCACTAAGGACTAATCTTAACGACTTAAAATTCCTCTACTGACTGATTTTCATTCCTTCTTCTATAGTTTCTCTCTCTTCCATCTTTTTCTTTCTAATAATGAATTTTATCTTTGATGTTAAAAAAATGTGTTCAGCGTTGTCTTTGGTTATTTTAGCCACCTTTAACTTTTTGTACATCTTTTTAAATTATCAAAAACCATATACTTGATATGGTTCCCAAACAGTGTTTGAGCAAGCTGGGTCCTTTTTTGCCTCCAGAACAAGGGTTTATATTGACCTAACTCAGTGAATTCCCCTCAAGAAGTTACATACATACCTCCAGCTGCTAGTCATACAACCAAACATTTCCATAAAAAATAACTTTATTGTCCTGGAGAAATAGCTCAATCAGAAGAAAGCCTTGCCAGAAAAGCTGAGTTCAAGCCTCAAAACGTACTCTTTAAAAGCTGGGCACGGTGGTACATGCTTGTGACCCCAGTTCCCAGGGGCTGGAGATGGCTGACTCCCTGAATCCCTCTCTGGCCTGGCAGCCTGGCCTGGTTAACATGCTCCAAGCCAATGAAAGCTACTGTCTGAAGAACCAAACAAAAAAGGACAGCACTTGAGGAATGACTCCCAAGTTGTCATTCGCCCTCGACGTCTGCACTTGTACCTGTTTTCAGCCATAGCTGCTCTCTCAGTTTTTGCTCTTCACCTTCTCAAGATCAAGTTTCTGTTTGTTTGTTTGTTTGTTTTAACAGATTTTACATTTAGATATTTGAAGCATAAAAAAGGAACAAAAGGTAATTTTACTTTCTCCTTTACCCATGACTCCAGACAGCTAGAGAAACTAGGAGAGTCCATCACCTGTGTTGTCCTAACAAATCTTAGTATGAAGCAGCAGGTCCATCTGCATCTGAACGTGTTTTGGCCAAGACATATTGTACAGCAGTGCAAAGAGGTACTGCTATGTAGAACCTCTCTCCCTTGGAGATGTTGTGAACCACATAAAAGGGAGAGAGGGGAGGGAACACAAACCCACTTTATTTCTCCCCTGATCTTCCCACAAAGCCAGCAGGATGTGCAGTAACGACACTGAGGACCCAGTGGAAGTTGAGAGGCCAGGACAGGTTTGTGGGGGAAGCTGGCCACCTGATTTGCATTTTGATGACTCTAACCCAAGCCCAGTGATAAAAAGAAAAGCACAGATAGAGCCAGTCTAAGTAACAGCATAACTAGTGTCCCCAGAGGTGACAAGAATGACAAGGGCCCAAATAAAATAGAGTAACTACTCTATGAAAGCAGTGGTAGGACATTGGTAACATGTCAAGAATTTCAGTCTGGGTGGTGGTGCACACCTTTAATCCCAGCACTCAGGAGGCAGAGGGAGGTGGATCTCTTGAGTTTGAGGACACCCTGGTCTACAAAGCCAGTTCTAAGATAGCCAGAGATGTTACACAGAGAAGTCCTGTCTCAAAAACAAAACAACAACAACAAAAAAACAACAACTTCACGACCTTAAAAACAGTGGAGCCAAATAATTCCTATAGCAAGAAAAATGTCCCTTTTTAAAACATAATTTTAAAACCTAATGGAGAGTTGTAGACTAAAAAGGTGCACGCATAGCATTTGAGGTTAAATCCTCCCAGATCACACGCTTGCCTCTTCTCTTTCTTTGTAACCTATTTCATCTTGACTCCACGGATCATGTCTGAGAATTCAGTTTTCTCATCTTCGTATTCTGGTCTGCTGTGGGTGACTGTACCTACAAATTTCATGTGAGGGCCCATGGAGTACAAAAATAAAGGATTTGGGGGCATTCTTACCTAAATCACATGGATTTCAGCAATTTCTGACTTACTATGAAAAATTTGAAGTTAAAAGAACTTCATAAAAGTTCTATGCTGAGCCAGGCATTGGTGGCTCACGCCTTTAATCCCAGCACTCGGGAGGC